AGAAAGACGTTTGCCAAGAGAAGGGAACAGGTCACTTGCAGGCGATAATGTGTATGGGGCTCTAAGGATTTTAGCCTGATCAGAGCTGGAGATGAAGCATTGAGTAATATGAGGTCTGTCCAGAAGGTATCTAGCCATGTAAAATGAAAGGCAGAGACATTTATTGAACATACAAAATACAAGAAACATTGTACATAGGACAATGACACCTCAGTCCCCTTCAAAGTAGGCACCTAGGGACCTCACACAGTTCTCCTAATCGCCATCAGCTGTCCTGTGATATTTTACTCAATTTCATTAAAGATCTGAAATCTCGTCCCTTTCAAAGGTGATTTTAGTTTTGGAAAAAGCCAGAAGTCACAGGGCACCAAATCTGGGCTGTAGTGGGGCTGAGTCATCTGGGTGATTTAATGTTTCACCAAAAAACTCTGCACAAGACCTGATGCATGAGCAGGTGCATTGTCGTGCTGAAGCTGACCATCACTATTTGCCCATAGCAACAGCCTTCTCAATTAATCATCTGAATAGTTTCTGCAGAGGAATGTTCAGCCTTATGCAAAACTTGATGCAGATTCATTGCTCTACTCGCTCAGTCATTTTGAATGTTATGGCCACACTCTATACATGTTTACTCAACAACGTTTATTGCCCCCACTGACTAGTACAGTGAAGGCGCCATTGTTCACACATGTGCAATCCAGTCCACTCTTGGCTGCCTGGTTACATTGATGTTGTGCAAACCATTCTTGCTATATTAACAACAGTTGGACTTTTTCTGGACAGACTTCATATACAGAGTTAGGTAAGTAGGGTGAGGCCAAATTCTGAATACCAGATTAAAAAGGTTAGATTTGATCTGGTAGATAAAAAAGAAAAACTATTATAAGTTTTTGCATAAGAGAATGATAAGAGAACAGTGGTTATGTTACTGGTGAAACCCAAATTAGAGGGCTCCACCTCTGCTCTTGTCTCACTTGTAAGAGATGAATTCACGCAAAAGACAAAACGTATAGTGGAAATGAGGTAGCAAGTTTATATGTAAAATATGCTTGAGTACAAAGCTGCAGGCAGGTACCCAGCTAGTCTGAGTACCTCATCCATTGGGGTTTTAGGGGTTATATGCTTGCAGCCAGCCTCCAGGCTCCCCCTCCTCCTCTCTTCTTCTGACCTTGGGATTAACATACAGTTTCAAAGCCTGCCTTTCCCAGATAGTGGAAATTATACACAGAATTTTCAAAGGCTTCCCCTCCTCCTGCACGTTTATCATGGTCTCTCTTGTGATCATTGGAACACCTGGCAATCTTATTTGACTGGGCTCAGGACTGTTGAATTAGTGGATAAAATGTATCTCCCTTCCCCTCCCTGCCTTGGTTTGCTATCTATTCTGCCTAACAGTTAGTCAGGCAGTGGTTATTAGAGCCAAATGGAACAGAGAGGATGTCAAATGCATCAGAAGGACATCGTGGTCACACAATGAGATGGTGAGGACGGAGCCAAGAAAACAGCCATGGGATAGAGAGCAAGGGATAGACAGGAGAAATGTTTTAAAGGGAAAATGAGCAAGACCTCTCCTCTGACTGGATTTGAAAGCTATACAAGAAATGTATTGTCAAACTTGATTTCTAGACTTCTAGCTTATGGCTTGGGTGGCCCAAAGTATCAAGAAATCATTGTCAGAACCAGAAAAGTCAGGAAGTAGCATTGTTCTGACAAGAAGTATGGGTTCGGTAATAGATGCACTTGACTTCAAGGCCTTATAAATGAGTAGGCAGTTAGCATTGAAGAAGTGTCACTCAGTGGGGGCAGGGATAGGGCGGGGCTTTTCACCAGGTGGTTAATTACTGAATCTGTGCAGATGTTCTGCTTTGAGGAATGCCTGTGTTAGGCTTCAGGATGAAAGCCAAGTAGGATTTACTCAGATGCCATTTGTCCCTCTGAAATATTTGCTTGTGAAACTGATGAAGAAATGATATATAAAGTATGAACTATTTTCCTAAATGAAAAGTTATTAATATTAAGATAAATGAGACCAGTGAAAGGAAGAATAAACTTTTTTAAATATAGTGTCTAAAAATGTAACATGAAAAAACATATTTAAAAAATTAAAATGGAAAAAAAAAGACACATTACTGTGTTAGTGATAACAAAACAATTTTCCAGCTCTGTAGTTTTAAGATGCCTCCATACCATGGACCATTTTAAGCAGTTAGTATGGGCACTTAGTAAAGACTTATTTAACTTATTCTGCTTCATTAATTCTAAGGCACACATTTTCTTTTTCTTTAGCGTCTCTCAATTGTAGTTGTGTCTTCACAGCTGACGTCACTTTATTGCTCCTGCTGACTAGGCAGCAGTCACAGTTATTGCTTTCACCAGTTCTTTTGCTTAATTTTATTTATTACACATGCACAAAAGTTACAGATGATAAATGTACCCAAACAAGTGTACAATAACTCTTTTCAAAAAGTATACAATAACAGTTCTTCCCTGGCTGAAATGGCTCAGCAGATTGAGTGCTGGTCGGTGAACCAAAGGGTCGCCAGTTCAACTCCCAATCAGGACACATGCCTGGGTTGCCAGCCAGGTCCCCAATGGGGGAACATGCTAGAGGCAACCACACATTGATATTTCTCTCCCTCTTTCTCTCTCCCTTTCTCTAAAAATAAATAAATAAAATCTTAAAAAAACAATAACAGTTCTAACTGATAAAGTGAACAACAGTTTAATTGGCTGCTTTATTTTAATTCCTTAGTGGTACATAAAACACTATGTTTTATAATGACGGTATCTAAGATTTAATGACATATATATTAAAAGATAGCTGATCACAGCAAATCTCTACCAGTGTGCTAGAGATGGCTGGAGTGAAATATTCTAAATTTGCATTCTTTCATCGACCTACATTAGGTGTCCCTTGGGTTATTTTAATTTGGACTGGAAACATTAGGAGAAAAGATTTTCATTCAGTGGTGTAAGTACTGCCTGCCAGGAATAGAAACCTCCTTGGAGAATCCACTTCTTTGATAGTGCAGAATCCAGAACATTCACAAGAGTCCAGATATTTGCAGAATGGATGTCTATGTGTTATTCAAACTGGTGCACCCTTCCTAATCTCATACCACTGTGCACTCCAAGCAGTTCTGAGTATGCTTGCTCTTTGTGGAAAGTGAGTCTTTCAATGGAAAGACTCCTTATAGCTCCCTGACTTCAGTTTTATTCATGCCCAAGTAGCACAGAACTAGAAAGGCCCGCTCAGACCCTCCCAGCCACAACACTCCTGCAACAGATAGGACCGTGTAGCTAACTTGAAAAAGGGGAAGTTACGATTACACTCACAGTTGTCACTTAGTAACATTTCTGATTTTGTGTTTCTTATGACAGCCTAAGCAGAAATCATTAGTGTGCATCTACAAGGAATTGGACTGGTGATAATGTTTGGGGATAGAAACATCTGTGTGGCAGAAAATGTCATCTCTTGTAAAAATGGAGAGCAGAAACGTTCTCAAGACCAGAATTCTCAGCCATTTCTGCAGTGTGATATATTGACTGGGGGGCAGGCTGCAAATGGACAGGAAAAGGGTCCCATTTCCTACTGATTGGCACAGTGTGTGTGTGCCAAGTACGGCACATGTGCGTAAGTCCACACTCCAGATCTGGAATAAGAATAAAGTTAGAATACCTGGGCTGGAGGGATGCTTCTCTTACTACTAAGGGACACCATGCTTTAGGTAAGTGATTCTGAAGTCCTTCATCATCTGACGGTAACCTTGGGTTGGTCTATAGGTATGTTTTCATTTTGCTTGTTCATCCATTCTAATTGGCTTCCCAGAGCATGCTTGTAGATGTAGAGCCAAATTTAGAGTAAAGCAACCCTCTGGCAAACAGGAGAAGATTAATTTTGTGGTGTGCTATTAAGGGACTTCCCAGGAAACTTCAAAAATACAGAAAGAAGCACTGGCTGTCTATTCCCAAACGTGCAAAATGCCACTCAGCTTTTTAAAGGTATGATAAACTCAGGGTGTGTGCGCACACACACACACAGAGGACCCCATTTCCAATAGAAAGAAAAGCTGCACTTTCTTAGGTGGGTTCTCTGTATGAGCCAGAAAAGCCAAGGCATGAGGGGCTCAGAGAGTAATGGAGATAAATGTGGATCCACATATGGGAGGCATTTGAAATTGACTTCAGTGCCTTGTTAACACTGACTACTCCAGTTCTCTCTTAGGCAGACACATTGTTTTCATGATATCAGCCCCAGGCACAGACACATCATTAAAATCAAGGTATAGTAGATGATTTCTGTTTGGAAATAAGCAAAACATTTTCCGTTATGACCACCCAGGTGTAGTAGGAAAACACTGGAGCTGGGATTGGGAGAGCCCCGAATTTTAATGTAAACCTTCTTCATGATACAAGGCCAGTCCTCTAATCGATTGTGGGAGGGGAAAAAAGTCAATGGAAAGACTCCTTATAGCTCCCTGACTTCAGTTTTATTCATGCCCAAGTAGCACAGAACTAGAAAGGCCCGCTCAGACCCTCCCAGCCACAACACTCCTGCAACAGATAGGACCATGTAGCTAACTTGAAAAAGGGGAAGTTACGATTACACTCACAGTTGTCACTTAGTAACATTTCTGATTTTGTGTTTCTTATGACAGCCTAAGCAGAAATCATTAAAAATTTAACCTATAAAGCTGCTAAAGTGAGAGGAAGGGGGAAAACTTGAAGCCACAATTTTTTCACTTGCTTAGACCCGTCTAATGTTGGGTATATGTGCTAAGTCTCGGAGAAAACACTGCACGCCTCTGGTTTATATTAAACCACGTACATCACTCTACTGACATTAACTTGTGTCTGGTGCAGCTGGAGTTTATCACGGATGCATAAAAAACCTTTATCCTGCAGAATGGCCTGGAATTGCAATCAAATGGGTGGCACTGTGTCCCTGCAAAAGAAAGCCCTAACCTGTTATATGTCCTGTGTCTGCTTTCTCCCCACAGTTCCACCAGGTGAGAAGAGTGATGACCATCCTTTTCCTTACTATGGTTATTTCATACTTCAGTTGCATGAAGGCTGCCCCCATGAAAGAAGCAAACGTCCGCGGACAAGGCAGCTTGGCGTACCCAGGTGTTCGAACCCATGGGACTCTGGAGAGCGTGAATGGGCCCAAGGCAGGTTCAAGGGGCCTGACATCATTGGCTGACACTTTTGAACACGTGATAGAAGAGCTGCTGGATGAGGACCAGAAAGTCCGGCCCCATGAAGAAAACAATAAGGACGCGGACTTGTACACTTCCAGGGTGATGCTCAGTAGTCAAGTGCCTTTGGAGCCGCCTCTTCTCTTTCTGCTTGAGGAATACAAAAATTATCTGGATGCTGCAAACATGTCAATGAGGGTCCGGCGCCACTCCGACCCGGCCCGGCGCGGGGAGCTGAGCGTGTGTGACAGCATTAGCGAGTGGGTAACAGCGGCAGACAAAAAGACTGCAGTGGACATGTCGGGCGGGACGGTCACGGTCCTTGAAAAAGTCCCTGTATCGAAAGGCCAACTGAAGCAGTACTTCTACGAGACCAAGTGCAATCCCATGGGTTACACAAAGGAGGGCTGCAGGGGCATAGACAAGAGGCATTGGAACTCCCAGTGCCGAACTACCCAGTCGTACGTGCGGGCTCTTACCATGGATAGCAAAAAGAGAATTGGCTGGCGATTCATAAGGATAGACACTTCCTGTGTATGTACATTGACCATTAAAAGGGGAAGATAGTGGATTTATGTTGTATAGATTATATTGAGACAAAAATTATCTATTTGTATATATACATAACAGGGTAAATTATTCAGTTAAGAAAAAAATAATTTTATGAACTGCATGTATAAATGAAGTTTATACAGTACAGTGGTTCTACAATCTATTTATTGGACACATCCATGACCAGAAGGGAAACAGTCATTTTGCGCACAACTTTAAAAAGTCTGCATTACATTCCTCGATAATGTTGTGATTTGTTGCCGTTGCCAAGAATTGAAAACGTAAAAAAAATTTTAAAAAATAATAAATTGCATGCTGCTTTAATTGTGAATTGATAATAAACTGTCCTCTTTCAGAAAACAGACAAAAAAAAACCCAACAACAAAAATTTGAACCAAAACATTCTGTTTACATTTTAGACAGTAAGTATCTTCGTTCTTGTTAGTACTACATCTGTTTTACTGCTTTTAAACTTCTGATAGCGTTGGAATTAAAACAATGTCAAGGTGCTGTTGTCATCGCTTTACTGGCTTAGGGGATGGGGGATGGGAGGGGAGTATTTTTGTTTGTTTTGTGGTTTTTTTTGTTTGTTAGTTTTTTTGTTTTGGTTTTGTTTTGTTTGTTTGTTTTTCTTTTTTTAGTTCCCACAGGGAGTAGGGATGGGGAAAGAATTCCTTCAATATATATTCTGGTTGATAAAAGACTCATTTGTATGTTGTAAAGATGTTTGCAATATCCATCAGATGACTGGAACGTGAATAAAAATGAAGGCAACTGAATGAAGCGCTCACTCCAGGTCCCACTATGTACCCCGAGGCTCCCACCAGCCTTTGGGCCTTGGTCAGGGAAAGCTTCTTTTGTTGCAAAGATCTACATTTACTTAGAGCACATTCTTTCTCCCCCTCCCGCTTTGGTCCCCGCTTTGTTTCCTTTTCTCTGTAGGAAGAAAAATCAGCTCCGTGCTCTGAAATATATTACCATTGCTATGAATGAGTAGCAAATTTTGTCACATGGTGGCACTCATAAGCATGGTGATTTCTCTTTTTCAACGAGAAAAAGAACAACCCAGAAATAAAAATAAAGATTTTTTTACAAGAGGTAAATAATTTGGGTAAATCGTGGTAAGGCTTAAAAATGTCTTACGAGCAAAAGATGGAGTCCCGTATGGACCCAGGAACACCTGGATCAGAACAGGAGCCCACACTGCCAGTGAAATGAGACTGACCAGCCATATGGAGGCTGTGTGGAGCTGACGCATCATTTTTGGGTGGTGCAGGAGGAATTTCTGAGTGGCCATCCTGAGGTCTAGGTGGGGGTGGGGAATGGTACTTGAGACATTCCAAAAGGGAGGCCTCTGAAGGACCCTTCAGAAGTGGCTCTGGAATGACGTGTATCAAGTTGCTTTGGACCTCACGCTTTAAGTGCCTACATTATCTAACTGTGCTAAGAGGTTCTCACTGGAGGACCGTGCTCAAGCCGACTTAATACCCTCCACCCCTGGATAATTGCGTAAAGCTGGATTAGCCTGGAGCGGGTTCAGAACCAAATGTGGCATTGTGATTATGAGATTGATGCAATGAGATAGAAGATGTTTGCTACCTGAACACTCACTGCTTTGAAATTAGACTTGAGGAAACCAGGGTTTTGTCTTTTGAGAACTTTTGGCATGGGGGAAGGGAACAGGAAAGGACCCTAAAACTCAGGTTGAATGATCGAGGCTACCAATAGAAAATCTTGTCCAGAGACAAGACTTTGGGAAGGTGTCTGGACTTCTAGGACACCAAAGACTGGAAGAGGCCAGGACAGAGCTGGCAAAGTTTTGCTCCCCGGTGAAGGCCACAGGCAACTTCCTGCCCATCCTGTCTGTTCATGGAGAAAGTCCCTGCCTCACCTCTGCTGTCTTGGGTTTGGAGAAGTCAAGTTGGGAGCCTGGAATGACGGTCCTGAGAAAAATGGACCCTGGTGAAAATTAGGGCTAAGCCCATTCACCCATTCAGCCCACTGTCCAAATCTGAAAGTGTCCTGGACCAGTATCCGTGGGTATCAAAAAGCCTCAAGAAATTGCTGTATCTTAGTAGGGTGAGGGATAAGCAAAAGAGGATTTCCACCATGATCCAGGGAATGAAGATACCATCAGCAAATAATTTCTCTTTGTTCAGTCTTTCATTTAGAATGAGCCTATCTTTTACATTACCACCTGAATACCTACCATTAAAAGAAGGAAGAATTTATGTAGCATAGGTCTGTTTTGTACTATTTGAAAATACTGTCTTTGTAATTATTTTTAACATGTAATGAATATTGGGAATATCTGCTGTATGTTAATTTTTGCAGCTCCGTTTTGAGGGACAAAATTATTTAGAAAAACAGAAAGTCCCCATCACCATCTCAAAATGCTGCAAAGGCCAGATCTGTGAAGTGGTTGCTTTAAGAGACATTCAGCAATTGTGTGGTCAGTGGCTCTCTCTCCCTTGCCCAATAAGAAACCTCACAGTCACACGCTTGGTGGTTTACGTTGACCTAAGATTTTATTTTGTTAAAACCTTTCTCTGTTGCTGTTCATTTTTGTTCTGTTTGTTTTATTTTGTTTTAAAGTCTTGCTGTGGTCTCTTTGTGGCAGAAATGTTTCATGCATGGCAGCGGGCCTGTTGCTTTTTTATGGTGATTCCCATTGAAAATGTAAGTAAATGTCTGTGGCCTTGTTCTCTCTATGGTAAAGATATTATTCACCATGTAAAACAAAAAAAATATTTATTGTATTTTAGTATATTTATATAATTATGTTATTGAAAAAATTGGCATTAAAACTTAACCACATCAGAAGCCTATTGTAAATACAAGTTCTATTTAAGTGTACTAATTAACATATAATATATGTTTTAAATATAGAATTTTTAATGTTTTTAAATATATTTTCAAAGTACATAAAATCTGGGGGTTCCGGGTTTTTTTCTCTTCACTGTAAAACAAACATGAAAGCGTGTTTCATTATAAATACGTGTGTTCCTTGCTTTAAGACCAACCTGTCTAGTTTTAGCAATTGCACAGACCTCCAGAGAGGATGCTTATTGCAAAGCATGGAAGGCCAATCCTGCAGTCTGAGCTTCCAAGAAGCTCTAGGATTGGGCCTGTCTTCCACTGTCTTTTACACAGTGGAAGACAGGAGTGTCATTTTCTAGGACACTTGAAAATCTCCCCCTTTGAAGTGATATACTTTCATCAAGTACCAAACTATGTATCCTAGCAACATCGGGCTCCCGGGCTGGCTGGCTATATTTGATTATAAAATAACTGTTAAAAAAATCAAAGTAGGTTCACTGAGAGATAATGAGAATAAATTGGCCCAAATTTAGAAAGTCAATGACTGAAAAAAAATATGGAAATTCAATATTTAGAGGCAGGTCATGTACCCTCAGTTTGGAGACAGTGCCATTTGCATTATGTATTTGTATCCATTGCACTGATTTAATTTTTGTACGTGGAGCCACACAGATTTTATATCACAGTACCCACGATCTAACAGATTGCTAGGATTTCTAAAAAGATTTGCCTCTGTGATGGCTGCCAAGCCGCTGGGTAATTTAGTTAAAGTGTTTAAAGTTATCACTAAATCTTAGGAAAATAAATGGAAGGATTTTAAATTAAAGAAAGAGCCATTAAGGAAAAAAAAAAGCATCTGTTCCTACTCTTCCGACTCTGCATTTGAACAGTCAACTCATCCCAGAACGTGGTGAACTATATCTGTGCAATGTATCATTTCTATTTCAAACATACACACATGGTTTCCTCATGTATTGTCTTATAAGTAAGGATCAAGAAAGTCATAACAAACTTGACTTGTGTTGTATATGTGGAAGAACAGATTGAATGAGAGGAATTACTCAATCCTAATCTATCCAGTAAGTTTGCCAAGCACTCTAAATTCTAAGCGAAATCTTTGACTGCCAGTCAAAGCATAAACCCAGCCATGGAATTAGAACATTGGTAAACTTAAGGCTTAAAGAATTTTCATAGTCAAGGAAGACGGAAAGTTGGTTAAAAGGGTTGAGTAAAAAGGATTGAGAATAAAACGTAACATTTGAATTCCTTGAAGTCAAAGGAATTTGGTAAACTTAATGACGTTTTCATTAGAAGATGAGGCCAAAGAAACAAAAGACAGAGGCATCTACTAAATGAACTAAGTTGAAGTTAATGGGCGTAGTCAACTTGTACTCGCTTCGTCGGTACGGTCAATGAAACCTGTTTCGTCAACAAGATACCTGGAAATAACCAAGACCATTACCTTGACCTGTTGTTTTCACCATTCTGATCAGCTTCTGTGGTTAGCAATGTCTATGGGGCTTTCTTTTAATTAGCTGTACTAATTCTATGAATGCTATCACAGTTCTGAGTGAGAACAGGATCTAAATTTTAGAATGGATCAGTGTTAAGTTATTCCTTATTCCTTTAGGTGGTTACTAGACTCCGGATGAAATGTCAAACACCTTAGGAACTGCAACCAGAGGCCTCAGACCTGGCCTCGGTCCACTCAGCCCTGGGGTGGTGTTAGGCAGTGTGCCTAAAGTAAAACATTTACGTCTTCATAGTCTCACATCAGAGCTGTTCTCTAAGTCAGTTAAAGTGGAACCGGCTGCATTTTGGCAAGCCGTTGTTAATCAAGAATGATAATAATTGGGATAAGAGACAATATATCTACGTAAATGTAGATAAAATATTTAGCCTAGAAAGAGTCCTCTGTGGATTTGATCCAACCTCAAAATATTGAACAACAAAATTATTGAGGGAATCTCAGCCATTTCTTTTAAAGCTGTATGATGTTTTAACTTGTTTTAAAGGCTGGCTGGCTGGCTGGTTGGTTGGTTGGTTGGTTGGTTTGGGAGGAGGGAGAGTGCTCTACGTGAAGCTGACTGGCAGCTGTTTCTGTGAATCCGCACCTAAAAGCCAAACTGAGTGACTAGAGTAGGTGCAGCTGCTCTAAACCAAACAGTGTGTATGTACATTCCACCCACTAAGTCAGCCATCTGCACACATATCCCAAGTCTTTTGAGTACCTCCATCCACTTCCTCAATTCTAGCTGCCATTTGAATACTTTGTAGGCAAAAAAAGGTGACTTCCTTGCTTTTTAATATGTGAATAGATGCAGTAAAGTGCCTGAAGAATATTTTAAAATAGTAACAGAAAAATATTGTGATTTTACACATGTTCCTCATCTTAAAAAATCCCATTTTATGTTGCACTGTAGGATTTCCATAGGCATTTACTTCAACCCCTCTAATTATATACTAGATACAAAATGCTAGATCAGGAGCACCCCAGCTTGGGCTTTGCTTGTCTGAATAACAGTCCTGCATGCTTCGAACTGTCAGAAGCGTGGAACTGTAAAAACTGGTCTTCCAGTTAATCAAATCCCCCCTCCCGACACACACACACACTAAACAGGCCTTGGCTTTCATTATCTATTTAAGTGTTGGTTGCTAATTTTTTATATCTGGCAAAGCGAAAGTACTTTTCTTGGAAAAAAA